CTTCATTTTACAAACCAGTACAACTTGAAGACCAAATCCTCATTTTAAAAAAATACAAAAAAGGAGAGACTATCTTAGGAATACAAATAGCTAAATTAAGTATTAGTCAATAGAATCCAGAAATATGTCAAACGATCTGAGTGAAGACTCATCTATGGAAGCAAGGACATTTCAGTATAAAAAAGTCTATCAACCATCAATCAATGCTGAAAAGGCATATGAAAAAAATCACAACTTTTCCTCATAAAACCTCCAAGTAAAATAGAAAGCAGAAACTCTTTACATATCATGAAGATCATTTGTCATTATTCTAAACAGAGAAATGCTAGACATTTTTATTGCTTTATTCCAATTAGAATGTTTAATTGAATGAAATTATATGAATAGAATCACTATATTTTTCTTTGAATTCTCATATTTCTAAATATTTTAACAAGTCTATGTCATGACATTAAACAAGATATATAAACTCATTCGTTTCCATTTTAATTAAATTATCTTTTTGTTAAGTAAGTCCAAACTATAAGGTAACTTGCAGATGGAACAGATTTGGTCTCTGTCCTTAAAGTCAGACACAGGTAACATGAGGGCACAGTCATCAGTATTTTTAAAAAACTTATTAAGGAATTGATAAGAATCACTGATCTAAGGCAACCATTAGCCAAAATCTCTCTAACTTTAGTTGAAATCTATCAACCCTCAAAAAAACACGTTTACATATTTTAACAACTATAAGTCTCACAAACAGATTAGGAAATAGTTTGTGAACCTATCTTAAGTGGGGAACTGGTTTTAAATTTTCTGATTTTTTTATTTGAGAGTCTTACATAAAGTACTCTTTTTATATTCAAGGGTTATCTATAAAACAGGGTACATTAAAAATCTTAACATGAAGAACTTTTGCCTATTTAATGAGATTATATAAAGTTAGCCTATTTTCTACAAGGATCTAGCTTTCATGCTTAAATTTCAACCAATTCTATCTATGCAGCTGATTAAGTAGCAACATACGGCCTTGCCATAGCAGAAAAAGAAATCTAATGCCTTTTTTTTCCCCCAACACCCCCATGTAATAAACAAATAAAAAACCTGGTCCAAGCAGTCTTAGAATTTTGTGTATGTGTTTACTTTCATGTCAGAAATGTTATCTTGGATTGTATTTTTAAATACTTGTTGCATTTCATTATGTTTCTTCTTCTGAGACTCAAATATGCAAATGATGAATTTCCTTTCTGATTTCCATATCTATCACTTTCTCTAATTTGTATTAACATTTTTATTCATTTTGGTAAATTCTACCCACTTTTCCCATTTCCGGGTTCTATGTCCTCTATTGTTTTCTATCTTCCCTTGTGATCCTTCCAATTTCCCTTTCATTCCAGTAATGATTTTATTTTTTATCTTATTTCTTTTTCTTTCCACTCAATCAGCTTACACTGCATTTTCTCAAGCACTTACACTACCCCTTCCTTGACCTCTTACATCACTGCTTTGTGCTCTCACTGGTAAACACTTGCATTAAGGGTTTTAAATTCATGGCAAAATATTTCACCATGATTTTCATCTTCTTTGCAGCAATATTTTTTCTGGTGAGTATTCTTCACCTGTCCTTTGTTTTTCTGTTCTTTTCTTCCTTTGTGATTCCTGAATGGTGGTAGTGGCCTTGAGCTGGATTCTTTTTGATTAACTCATCTTTGAATGATGGGAGGTTTTCCCGAACAAGCTATTTGTAGGACGTTCACGCAGGCAGCCACAGTGACTCCAGTTCTGGACAGCAAAACTCTGTCTTGACTTAGAATTTTACATAAGAATTGTTTAGTTTTTTACTTCTCAACAGCCAACGGTGACAGGCAGCCTTGAGGTTTTTCACAATGCAAAGGCACTTCCTCCCCTACACTTGGACAGACAAAAGCAAAAATGGCTGGTTTGTGTGACTTCTTGTTTGGCTTCATCTCCCCAACTTCTTGGAATCAAAACAGGTGCAGGAAAACTCCTGTCATGAGCTTAAGAAACCCATTTTGGTTTTGCAAACAAGGGATTTAGGTTTTGTGCCCCAGGGTGGGCCTCTCCACTTCATGAAGCATCTTTGCCGGCTCAGAGCTCTGCAGCTGTGGCATCCTCTCTCTACTTAGTCTCACGTGCAGGCTGCTTAGTCTCCACTGTTTTTGGCAGCCATTCCAACTCTTCTGTGGCTTGGGGTTTTAGCCATCTTCTAGTTTAGTGGAATATGGGGTTTGTGCTTTAGTTTTTCCCTCTCTCGTTATTAGCTAATTGCCAGAAAGCAAAAGAAGAAAATGCCAACTTTATAGTACCATCTTCAAACTCAAAATTCAATAAAATTATCTTAAAAGAATATTTTATATAAGACAGAAAATTGAGCGTCAAACTATATTACTGAAAGATAAAGGTGTGCTTTCCTTACTATTTTATTGTGAGGTAAAATACTAATTTTCCACAAAACGCCATTAACAATTGAGCTAATTGTTTTTATTTTAAAAATTCATGTGTATATTGATTATAACCTAAGGCAGAAAATAATCTGACGACTAAATGTAAAAGATACTTTTCAAGACCCAGGGGCCATTTGGGGAACAAATTACGTATATCCTCATCAGTGCGCCATAATCTTAGTATTTGTTCTTAAGGCAGTCAAAGCCTTTTTAATAATAAGGACAAAACAGAATCTGTCATTCTGCAAGTCCCCAGATTCCAGCTGGATTTGAAATGAAGATAGACAGCTTTATATTACATATAAGATCATTCCCTTAGTAAAATTTTAACTCCAGGCAAGTTTATTTTCCCGCCAATTACTATTCTTCTACTCCTTGCTATCCATTACCAGGCATGTCCGAGAAAAATAAAGTTCTACTACTAATTTTTTACAGGAACAAATAATATACCAAAGTCAAATTAAAATGGATTTTGAATTACTAGTGTTTTAAATGATTCCCTTTCACACACATAAGAGTAAATCTGTACACGTTAACATGTCATACAAAAGCTAAAGAATGCCTGATATAATTTATTAAACATTTAGAGGCATCATGAGTTATTACAGATAAAAAGAAACAAAAAAGAGCTTTTCCTTACAGAAAGCTAAATAAAAGATGTAGATGGGAACGATGGAATTTGAAAAATCACCATTTGACAACCAACCTAGTTACAATGACAGGATGATACTTTACAATAGAGAAATGTCACATATATCACCTTAAGTAACCAAAGTCCTATCACTAGGAATGGTACAAATATACACCATGCTCCAAGAAGCACTTCTGTGGAATTCCTGCCAAAAATGCATAACCTGAATCTAACTATGAGGACACACTGGACAAACGCAATTGATGGATAGTCTACAAAATAACTGATCTGTATGTACTCTTCAAAAATGTCAAGGCCATGAAAGACAAAAAAAGACTGAAGAACTGTTCAGATTAAAAGAGACTTAAGAGAAGTGATAACTAAATTCAAAGTGTGATCCTGGACTAGATCCTAGACCAGAAACAATTCTTTTTCCTTTGCTATATAAGACATTAGTGGGACAATTGATGAAATCTGTCTGTATACAGAATTACATCTATGTTTATTCAGGAAAAACACATGATTTAGAGATTAAAGACATCATGTCTGCAATTTACTCTCAAGCAATTCAGAAAAACAAGAATATCGCGTGTGTGTATGTAGAGAGAGAATGACAAAGCACATGTGATAAATACTAACATTTGGGGAATCTGAGTAGGACGTACAGAAATCCTTTATACTATTTTCACAACTTTTCCTAAGAATGACATTGTTTAACAATAAGAAGAATAGGAAAAAAAAACCTAGACACACAATAAATAAAAACAAACAAAACCTGTTAACAGAAACTCTTTATTTTCCCTGTTAATGCTAGGATCATCTTTACCACGCTCCACTCATCAGATCATAAAATTTTAGAGCTGTAAGAAAAATGTATTCTCTCCAAAACTTGTCAATTCAGATGAAGACAATGAAGGCAAATGACTTGCTCAAGCTCACAACCAGTGCGAGGCAGAGCCAAGACTACTATCTTGCTCTGACTCAGCTCTTTCAACCACTGCAAGCTGTCTCTCGATCCCTTTATATTGTCGTCTATTCCCTAAACATGTGATACCAAAATATCCAGCTCTATCTTCTCATATCTTCTAATAAACTAGCGTGGCAAACCTCTTCCAGGCAATGTAAATTTCATTTTAAAATGGTATTTAGGTATTATTGTTCCTAACAATACTTAACAACTAATTTTTTTTTTTTTTTTTTTTTTAAAGATTTTTTTTATTTTTTCCTTTTTCTCCCCAAAGCCCCCTGGTACATAGTTGTGTATTCTTCGTTGTGGGTTCCTCTAGTTGTGGCATGTGGGACGCTGCCTCAGCGTGGTCTGACGAGCAGTGCCATGTCCGCGCCCAGGATTCGAACCGACGAAACACTGGGCCGCCTGCAGCGGAGCGCGCGAACTTAACCACTCGGCCACGGGGCCAGCCCCACTTAACAACTAATATTAATAAATACGTTGAGTTCAAAATATATGCCAGATACTATAGCAAATGCTAAAAACACAAAATTAACATACTCTACTGCTGGGTAATACTTTTAGGTCCATGATGATAAAGACTAAGTCTATATTATCCATCATTATAACCTCACATCTTAGGACAGTGCCTGGCATACAAAAAATATTCAAATAATTGCATAATACAAAATAAAAGACAATCAAGGAAATGTGTGTACAGATAATTACAATACCAGCAGTGTGAACAAAGTGCCATGAGACAACAGATAAGGATGTTATTTCTGCTTGGTGAGATCTAGAAAGGCTCAGAAATTTAATGACACCAAAGTAAAGCCTTGAAAGACAAGTAAGATTCCGACAGACAAGGAAGCAATGGGGTGGTGAGGGGACGGTAGGGGAAATGAGATAGAACAGCGTGAAGGCAAGAAAATATCCAACATTTCTATTAAATTTTTAAACATAGGCTTACCTATTGTTGCTGCAAGTTCTGGATCAAAAGTATCATCTGTGAACCTCAAGAGCAGGCTAAAAAAGATGTTAAAAAGATAGGTTAGAAACTTGACTTTTCTTTCTAGTCATTTCGTAAATGTTCATAATTGCTATATTTTGTCACAAATTAGATAACAGCAGCTGATGTAGGGAGCTGGCCCCGTGGCTGAGTGGCTAAGTTCACACGTTCCGCTTCAGCAGCCCAGGGTTTCGCAGGTTCGGATCCTGGGTGAGGACATGGCCCTGCTCCTCAGGCCATGCTGAGGTGGCGTCCCACATAGCACAACCAGAACAACCTACAAGTAGAATATACAACTATATACTGGCGGGCTTTGGGGAGAAGAGGAAGAAGCAAAAAAGAAGATTGGCAACAGATGTTAGCTCAGGTGCCAATCTTAAAAAAAAATGAATAGCTGATGTAGGTCTGCTCCCAGAAGTACTGCCTCCGTGCAGGTATACATGGAGGACTTAAATTATCCGAAAGGCAATTAAAGAATCCCAAGAGCAAAGCAGTTTACTAGAAAATATATTCCCCATGCTCCCCTACACAATTCCTCAAGTGTGAAAAGGTTTTGTGGGTTGTTTTTTCCGAACTGTACTGGTATGTCCTTCTGAGAAAATTATATCAACAACATGTCATGCTTTAACTAAAGTAGATGAAAGGGGGGAAAATAAGTTTGTTGGAACGCAATCAATTAATTAAAAAAAAATCTGATGTGTAATCCACTCTGAACGCAAGTAAAAACAGAAAGATGTGAAAGGCAGCATTTTCTAACAAGTAGCGTGACTACTCCCTAAGTGGGAAGAGAAGAAACAGTAAAACGTGAGGAGAGAAAGATCACACGATGGCCAGAGTAGGCACACTCTGGCAAACAACAGGTTTTCTTGTTGTTAGTGCCCATGAGTGGATTCCGACTCCTAGCGCCCTGTGTACAGCAGAGCAGAACCCTGCCCCGTCTTTCTGTGCCACGCTCTCACCTTCCAGCACTGTTATCAGACCTGCTCTACCGCTATGCATGGGGTTTTCACGGCCAATGTCTTCAGAAGTGGGTGGCCAGGTCCTTCTTCCTGGTCTGTCTTCTTCTGGAAGCTCCACTGAAACCTGTCCACCATGGGTGACCCTGCTGGTATTTGAAATACCAGTGGCATAGCTTTCAGCATCATAGCAACACACAGCTGCTACAGTATGACAATCAACAAATGAGTAGTATGGTTCCTTGACCAGGAAACAAACCCCAGCTACAGAGGCGAGAGAGCCGAATCTTAACTACTAGACCACCAAAACATTAGGTACACTGGATGAAATCAAGTAGGCAAGAGGAAGCTACTGAAAGCTTTTTTAAAGAAAGGAATAGCAAGAACCTCAAATTAATACCAGGAAAAAAAATGCAACAAAGACAACTGCCATCTTATGATGAGAAATAACAAAGGACTAAAGCTAGGAAAGAGTAAAGAAACTAGAAAGAAAGGGATAAAACGAAAGCAAAGGATACCATAAGGATACTCTAAGATTTCACGTTTCCCAGAATTATTTTATTTAATATAAGGCAGAACTGTCAGTTACTAGAAGCTTTTCAAAAATAAAATCTAAGCTTTTGTAAAAGCTTAGACTTATAAAATTAATGAATCTTCCCTCATATTATCTCCTAAAGTAGGACAAGACTGTTCTAATGACCTGTTTGCATTAATAAAAATCAAGGCACTAGCTATCATGTCTGACTTGCAGAAAAAAATTTATGAATATTTCTATAGGTTGTACTTATTACTGATAGAGATTTTTTTTTTTGGTCCACAGAGTAGACTGCAAAATACAATGGCCTCTTGGTAGTTTCCAAACCCAGTATCATTAATTGTTGAAGAATTAACTTTCCCTTTTTGGTTTTGCTTTCTTCTGTTTACCATAAAACCAAGAGCACACAAGCAAAGTAAAACAGAAGAGTCAAACTGTAGATTCTTCTACTTAACATTGAACCCTCTTGACTATAACTATTTTTACTTACTTCCAACATGAGTCAGGTGACAGCACTAATAAGAATCTTGAAAAACTACTTACAAAAGTTTTCTTCTCTCTGCAATGTTAAACTTTAAAGTAATAAAAGTGAAGATTTACTAAAAATTTCAGTGACTCATAATTTAAGAATAGAAAAGATATGTACCTATACTTCATCACCACAGAAAACATTATTACAAAAACAGAGAACTTGGAGAGTAGTGGTAATGATAACAATACCATAATAATAATACAAATAATAACAATGGTATTGGCCATTATTTACTGAACATCAACAATATGCCAGACACTGAGCCAGGAGCTTTGCTTGCATAACTGCTAATCCTTACAACAATCTTTGTCATCAACGGTACTTTGTTACGAAAGACAGGGAACTGAGATGGTGCAAAGCAACAAATCTGAATATAGGCTCTGAGTGTAAGTCAGCAGATCTTAGCCAGGAGTACACTCTGAGCTCAAAATGTATTCTAAATTCTGTGTATGCATTTTTCTAGGCAGAGTCTTTTTCTTTATAGGATTTTGAAAAGAATCCACAACCTAAAAACGATTAAGAACCACTGCTCTAAAGAAAGTATATTTAAGCCTTCATATTTTCAAAGTTAAAGGAGCAAAATACTCTCCATGCAGAGCTATACAGATGGAAGCAGTAACTACCACCATTCCACTTAAAGACGACCAAATTTATAACAAACAGTATGATTATAACTAATCTGCATTTCTTAATTTACAAATGAAATTGGCCAAAAAGGATGGGAATACAAGAGGCACAGGAGGGCAGTAATTTAGATAACAGGCCTCTAGAAGCCCTTCTAGTTTCTGAAACACTTTGCTACTTCTTTACTGCACCATGGCTGGCCACAGAATCAAAGACTGTTAGACACTGAACCTTAGACAGGGCTGGAGAGATTTCTACTCCAACCTCATTTTTCAAATGAAGAAATGAAGGCCTAAAGTTTTCAAATATCACACACAAGGTCACACAAGTGGCAGCATCAGTTTCATAATCCTGATTTCCTGGCTGCTATCACACATGCTCCTTACACTCCAACAGTATGAAATAAACAGGAAAATAACCCACTAATTTGAATTAGTTAAGATATCCTTTGTTGTGCAATGACTTCTCAACAACATAAGTGATATCTCATTTCCACTAACTCTTAATCTGTAAAAAAAAAAAAAAGAAAAAAAAGAAACAAACCATTGGTTTGAACAACCCTTTAAGAGTATATCCAGGAGAAATGTTTTTGTAGTAACTCACCTTAAAAAGCATAGGCTTCCATATTGTAGTGATTTATTCTCATCCAGAAAGGCAGGTGTTCAAGGTTGTTTTTCAAAGCATATCACATACACTAATAATGTATATTTAGCTAGAAAAATAAGCCAACTTTCTCCCTAAATAGAATCCTTTCTTGAAAGAGGTAGTTAAAGGTGTTAAAATTTCTCAGTGAGCAGCTGATAATTCACCACTAAGTACTGAGAAACAGTTTGGAGCAGATTAGATCCAAATAAGTTTGTTTGAGGGGAGGGGACTAAGAAAACCAATAAATCCACTTAACAGATTTTACTCCAGAGGAAGAAATTCAATTATGTAAACACAGTACCTCCAGTCAACCTTCCAGAAAATTTTAACATAGTTGAGTCACTCATCCAATACATTTAGAAAAAGTGCCAACCAACTATGTACTGGGCTGAACCACATGAAACGACATTCAACCAATTCTTGACTTCAAAATCAGCAATTTCACATGCCTTAACCTAAATGAGAGTCACATTTCAAGAAAAAAAAAAGGTCACAAGGCTATGGAATTCCTATTAAGACAATGTTCAATATAGTAATTAACTTTTTAACTCTCAAATAGATGGTGATCATAAAAATGATTTTATCCAGCCCTTTAAGTAACACACACACACACACACACACAAATCGTACTATTTTGCTAGCTCACGTTTCATTAATTTATTCCTTGTTACGTACAAATCCCACACTCCAACATACACAGAGTACATTAAACGAAGAAAACTATGAAAATGTATCGTGATGCTTTAAAATTATACAAAATTTCAAAGCATATTACAGAATAAGATTTCAAATCTTTAAGTACCTAAAAAAGTAAGCCTTTATGAAGTGATCTGAAAAATAAGTTTATCAGGAGGTATAGCTAAAATATGAAATTGCTTACGGCTCCTGGAATTGACTATTGTTCAAAGATCAAAGCAGCCCAGACTGTAATCTACTCATAACCAGATGGCAAGGATGACTTCACCTGGAGAACGTTTTTCTAAGACCTGGATGAAACCACATCCTCTTGCAGCACCCACCGAGCTCCAGGTCTCACCTTATACTCAACCCGAACTACTGTCAATAGGATTTTCCCCCAAGAAGGAGTCAAGAAAGAAAAGACACAAATGCTAATTTGTTCTTTTACCTCTAGATGATCTGGCAGAATGAGAAGTAACAATTACACTTTATTTCCAAAGGTGGGCCACAGCTTAAGCTCTAGCATCTTAGACTGAAGGGAGCTACGCGAGTGGTCAGATGACCAACGAGCGCTTTCACAGCTGACTCAGAGAAAAACATAAAGGAATCGGCAAAGGGGTGCACCAAAATAGGCCAGGAATGTGGTCCAAGGCGTCGCGAAACTTCCAGCGCAGAACGTTACGTGTTTAGAGAAAGCCCGACAGAAAGCCCAAAGTGATGAAGTTACAACTCTTACCTGGCGGGGTGACGGGCGGCCTGCACCCCGAGGGGCCGCGACGAGGCCTCCCCAAGGCCGGACTTGGGCCCGAACCCGCCCGCCGCGCCCTACGCTCCGCGGCCGCAAGCCGGCCGGCCGGGTGGCGGCCCTCGGGATTGTTTTTCGTGCTGCGACAGGAGGCAGGGCGATCCCGAGAACCCGGGCCTGGCCGAGGCCGGGCACCCGGCGGGCTGGCGCGGGGCGGGCGCGGGCGGCAGGGCCAGAGGCCCGCGCGGCAGAGAGGCCGGGAGGCCGCGAGCGGAGCCCGCCCCAGCCCGGCCCGCGCCCGCCGCCGCCGTTTACCGTTCCCGTCGCGGCCCAGGAGACAGCGGCCACCGAGGCAGAAAGCAGCCCGCCGGCCTCGCCACGGCGCGCAGCCCCGCCTCACCTGGACTTGCCCACGCCGCTCTCGCCGATGATGAGGATCTTCAGGGTGGTCAGCACGTCCTCGTCCATCCTGCCCCTGCTCCGCTCCGGCCCAGCAAGCCACCCCTCTCCGGCGCTCAACCAGCCCTTCACCAGGCAGAGCTGCCCGCGCATGCGCACCGCTCCGCGGCTGCCACCTTCCTTTTACACCGGGTGTTTAGGTTGCAGAGGCCTCCGACGCCCCAGTTCCGCCTTGAGGTAGCTCTGCGGCTGCGCAAACCTACAGTCCCGGGCGTCTTTCCGGAGAGCCGTGTCATCCCTTGCGCAAGCGCAGATGGGGAGAGCCGTGTGCCATTTCAGAGGGTAGGCTCTTCTGCCTCCCGAGTCCTGAGCCAACCGTCCTTCCGTTGTGTACTTGGGAAAGGACTGAGTAGGAGGAGTATAATACTCTCTTATTTCAGCAGCTGCTCCGAATAGCTGCTTTGCAGTGGGAAAAGCATTGTGCTTGCAGTCAGGTTATCTTAAATTTAGGTTCCAACTCTACCGTATAACCGCCTAGTGTTGCCTAGCCCTCTGAGCCTGTTTCCCCATCTCGCAGACGGAGGCCGTAATACTTCGTAGAATAATAATGGCTTCTTGGAATTGTTACGAAAGTTAAATGAGCTAATTTATGAAGACACTTTGGAAACTCAAGTGCTCTAGAGATGATGTGATAACGTATTAACTTCCTAGTTTATCCTCTGTTAGATTAAAGAGTACTCACGAGTCGGTGCATCTTGAAAGGGAGATGTAAACTTCAGTTAGATGAGGTGCATGCAATCGTTTGATGATGCAACTTCAAACCAACTATGCCTGTTTATTAAGAACTGCTACACCACAATGGCAGGAATTGTACGTATATGCTTTGTCTTCTTCACTAAGTTGTAAATCTTAGTGAAGGTACCATGATACCTAGCAAAGTTCCTGGTACATGGCAGACACTAAATAAGCATTAGTTCTCCAGTCATATCTTATACTTGCAGCTAATGCCAGATACAGTAGATATTTGGTTAAAGAATATGTATTAATAAAACAAGTTAAGGATTTAGTTTTTTAAATACCTGGAAAAAGCTCTTTCACCGGATATGCAAATGGCTCCTTCACCTGCTTCAGGTCTTTGCTCAAATGTTGCCGCCTTAATAAGGACTTCCCTGTCCATACCACTGAGATCTGCAAATCCGTCCAGCGTTCCCTATACTTTTTTGGAGTTATTTTTTGTATAGCACTTACCACCCTCCAATATACTATACATTTTACTACCTTATTTGTTCACTGTCTAACCTTCCCCAAAGAGAAGGGAAACTTTATCAAGGCAAGGATTTTTGTCTGTTTTTTTGTGTAGAAAGTAGTTCTTGGCATATAATATGTGCTAAATATTTGTGGAATTAATTGAATGAACGTTCTTGACTCAATTTCTAACTCTGGAAAATGATGCTAACCAAACAACCTCAACCTCTCATAAAATTGCCATTGAAATCTCAGTCAATTCAATTCAGCCTACTTTTGGCTATGGCAACAGAGCTTGTTTGCAAGGCTCGCAGTATTGTCAAGCTCTCCCACTCTGGGGTAACGATTCTAAAAATCTAGTCCCAAGATCCCTAGAGATCCCTTTCAGGGGGTCTGCAAGATCAAACTATTTTCATAATTATTTAAGATGCTATTTACTTTTTTCACTCTTGTTCTCTCATAATAATACAGTGGAATTTTCCAGAGGCCACATAAAATGTGATAGCAAAACAGGTAAAAGGCAGAAACAGATATGAGAATTCAGCTGTTTTCTATTAAGCCAGACGTTAAAGAGATTTGTAAAAATGTAAAATAATGCCACTCTTCTCACTAATTTTTTGTTTTAAAATAATTATTTTCATAAACAATGATATTAACTAGTAATGTTTGTTTTTTAATGAATTAATACCTTTAAAATTTTCTGTTTTAATTTCTAATTAAGTATTAATAGATGTAGTCGCATTGTGAGCTCTTTTGAGTCCTCAATAATTTGTAAACGTGTACAATAATTTGTACAACCAAAAAGTTTGAGAACTGTTGCACTGTACTATTCACACCAAGATTTAAAAACAAAAACAAAAACTTTCTCATCTAAAACAGGCCTGGATTTGTTGATGTTGCATGTAACATGGTTGATCTACTTTGGCAACATCACATTCTCTGAGATTTCCTCCTACCTCTTGGCCACTTCCCAGTTTTTTTGAGCTCCTCTAGTTCATGTTTTGAACATTTTTGTTCTTTGAGTTTTAGCCTGGTTTTGCTTTCTTACTCTGCACACACATTGTCTTCTTGGACTTACATGGCTCCCTCATCCCACTTGCTTTGAGGACTCTCAAAGTTAAATCTATGGCTGAGATTTCCCTCCTGAGCTTCAGACCAATATATACAACTGCCAAGACATCTCCACGTGGGTATGCCCAGGTGGAGAATGCCAAGCTAAACATAATTTACACTGGACTCATTATCTTCTTCTCTATACCAGCTTTTTCTCCTGATTTCCTTCTTGGGGAATGACATTAACACCCATTTCACTTTCTCTCCCTCACTCCTGACACCGAAACATTTAGTCCTCACACTTCTACCCCTTAAGCATCACTTAAATTTATCCACGTTTTTCATCTCTACCGCCATGGCAATGGTCAGGTCATCATCATCAGCTTTTTGCTGGATTACCTACCATATCGGCTATCCAACTGGCCTTCCTTCCTCCATTCCTCTCTCCTCTCAGACTATTCTCTACACTGCAGCCAAAGGGGTATTCCTAAAACCCAAATCTGATTGAGTCACTTGCCTTCTATCTGCTGCTCACTGCCCTAGTGAGTGTTTACTATCTTGTCATAGACCCTGATTATCAGTCCAGCCTCATCTCCTGCACTCTGTGTTCTGGCTAAATTGAACTCCTTGCATATTTTCCATGAACCATGTTTTGCTTATCTCCAGGACCTTGCACATGTCATTCTTTCTGCCTGTAGTATTCCTCTGTCCTCATCCCTGCACACACACACACACACACACACACACTCACTCTCTTTTGCTTGGGCAACTCTTACTCGTCTTCCATGTTCCACCTTCTGGATCCCTTTCTCTGGGACAACTTCCCTGGCCTCCCAGGTCAGCATTACACGTTCCTCTTATGTGTTCTGATAATGTCCTAAGCGTCTATTGTGTTATGTATTCCACAGCATTATAATTGTATGTTTAATTATTTCTTCCTCTACCAGAATGTGTGCTTTTTTTTTTTTTTTTTTTGAGGAAGATTAGCCCTGAGCTAACATCTATCACCAAACCTCCTTTTTAGCCGAGGAAGATTTGGCCCTGGGCTAATACCTGTGCCCGTCTTCCTCTGTTTTATCTGTGGGATGCCTGCCACAGGATGGCTTGATAAGTAGTGGTAGGTCCATGCTCCGGATCCAAAGCAGCGAACCTCAGGCTGCTGGAGTGGAGCACATGAACTTAACCGCTATGCCGCAGGGCCAGCCCCCAGAATGTGTGCTTCTTTTTTTTTTTTTTTTTTTTTTTTTTTAAATTTACATTTTTTTTTTTAAAGATTTTACTTTTTCCTTTTTCTCCCCAAAGCCCCCCGGTACATAGTTGTGTATTCTTCGTTGTGGGTCCTTCTAGTTGTGGCATGTGGGACGCCGCCTCAGCGTGGTCTGACGAGCAGTGCCATGTCCGCGCCCAGGATTCGAACCAACGAAACACTGGGCCGCCTGCAGCGGAGCGCGCGAACTTAACCACTCGGCCACGGGGCCAGCCCCCTGAATGTGTGCTTCTTAAAAGCAGAATTGACTAATGTCCTGTTCCTTGTTCTGTCTCCAGCATCTAGTACAATGCCTACCATAGAGTAGTTGCTCAAAAAAATTTTCATTAACATAAAAACCCCAACTCAACCTCAGGAATTTGTAACAATGTTAGCTGCTTGTTTGTTTTTTATATAGGTTGGGATGTCTCTTGAATCTCTATCTTGAGTATTAAAGCAAATTTTAAAAACACCCTCAATAACTCTCATGCACAACCATTACCAGGTACTGCTAGAAAGGAAGCCAGCCTTCACGCACAGAGAGGCAAGGTGGTATTTTTTGGTGCTAAATGAATGATACAGACAATAAATGCTCCAGAAATTCAGACGGGGATAATTGGTCACCGAAGCTTAGGGCAACCAAGAAAGACTTCATGAAGGAAGCAGGACTTGAAAGAAAAGTGCAGTTTAGACAAGTACAAGAAAGAGGGCAATGATTCAGGCAGAAGGAATTCAGTATAAACAAAGTCATCAAGATGACATGTAAAATATAACCTTTGAGATGGATAAATGTGCTGTGTATTAGAAATATTAGGCAAAGGGCAGGAGTGAAGGCATGGAGGCCTGATAGGAAACTGTTGGAAGACTAGAATGTGGTGGTGGCTGTGGGAGCTGGAATTGGAGTGATGTGTACAAAAGACGCAAAGAATAATTAATTGCCCCATGCCTGTGAAGGACAAGAAGAAGCAAAGGGAGAGAAAAGTATTAGCATTTCCCCAATGTTTTAAGCCTCAGTGCCACAAATAAGAAAGAAAACTCATGACAGAAACAGGGAGGAAAATGAGTTTGGTTTCAACCATGTTGAATTGTATGTGAACTAGCGCCTTGGAGGCAAAATTTTTATAAACTGTTTTAGAGCTGTGGTACTGAAATTCAAGGTGGATAACAAGACGCCAAAACAGAAGGATCAAGAAGATGACATTCCTAACCAACGATTTGGCCTGGGTGCTCTGTTCCACATATATGCTATTATCCTTAAATCCCTGGGGAAGAAAAAAAAAAGAGTCATTCTTTTTTAGGCTTTCAGACACACTTCATCGTCCTTTTCCTTGTGGATCTGTCTTTTAGTATTAATTCTGCCATATTCAAAAGATATGATCAGCTCATAAGGGAATATTTAAAATAGTATTGTTAAGACCTGGAGTTTGGGGTAATCTATGAGTAAACCCAGAATGGAGGAAGGGATTGAAATTAAGAATCCACTTGGAAGTGTGATGGGGAAGGGCTCCTGAGTCTGTGCTGTCCCCAACATGCC